CACTGGGAGTGCAGACTGCCCTTACCTGGCTCTGGTTACTTCTGCTTCCTTTTTAAAACTTCTCAGATGCCTGGGTGCCTCAGTCAGTTAAGCGTCTGCGTTTAGCTCAGGTCATGGTCCTAGGGTCCTGGGATCAAGTCCTACATCAGGCTCCTTGCTCACCCTCTGCCTCTTCCCCATTCCTGCTTGTGCGTGTGCTCTCAAAAAGAAATAAAATCTTTAAAAAGTAAAACAAAACGAAACTTCTCATCTATTACTGCTTTCTTGGGTGGTTAGACCTGGGCTCGTGTGTGTGTGTGTGTGTGTGTGTGTGTGTGTGTGTGTGTGTGTGTGATGAGTAGCAGCAGCGAAAGCACTAATCCCTGGTCAATCTCATCGTGGGTGTCCTTGATTAATATCCCTGGTCTAACCTGACTATTGTCCTGGGGAGCTCATTACCATCAAAGAAGCCTCCAGTCCTATCAGGGCTCCCCCTGTTCGTGTCCTAATGTGTCAACTCATTTCATCCACCTGAGCCTCAGTTTACCCACAGTGGGTTCCTATGCATTTGGCACCTGACTGGTTCAGGTCAGTGCTAATAAAGATGTGTTAACTGATGGGTGCATTCTTCCCAGTAGCACAGCAAGAGGATGCTTTTAAAACCTCAGTAGTGTTTAGAAGGGGTGAGGACAGAAGGTAATTTAAGTCACCCAGACCAGCTCAATAAACCCTTTTTTTGTTGTTGTTGTTTTCCTATGCTAAGAGAATAAGAAAAATGTAATTAAATTTAAGTAACTAAAGCTATGGCCTTAAAGGAGTTTTCAGGACTTGGGACCTTGGTCATTCTGTAAAAAATTATAGAAACCTTTCTGGAGACATGTCTTTAGGTTATATACAGGAAATCTTCTCAGCCCCAAGTTGTAAAAACCAACAACAAAACAATATTTAAAATCTCTGACTTCTGTTCACTTGACAGGGGGCTTCCTATTTCCAACAGAGCAATTCAAAATTCATTGTCCTGACTTCCCTCAGCAGCTAAAATTCCCAGTTTCATATCTGTTTTAAGTAGTACCTTGTTATAAAGTGTTATTTTTAAATGACCCTACTCTTTGATCAGTATACCTAGCATATGATCAAGGACGTAGCCTCATCAGTGTAGCTCAAAGGAGTCCACCTTCTGGGGACCGTGCACCACCCTAGGCATGTGGAGCCATGAGCAAAACTCAAGGTCCCCTCTCAGTGCTGCGGCTGGACTGGCCACACCGCCTGGCCCGGAAGCGAGAGGGCTGTCGGTGGAAGGCTGGACTTACAGAGGGAGTTGGGGGAAGGAGGGTGGGCTTGAAGTAAATGTTTCTTTCATGTGAGGAAGACATGTTTTCTGTAGATTAAAAAAAGGGGGGGTGGATCGAGATGGCCAAAGAGATATGTCAGCAGTAGTCAGCAATCATACTCCTCCTGCTGTGCCATTCCATGCATTATTCCTGCACACGCAAGCACGCCCTATGAAAGGGGGTGGTAGTCTCAAGTCCCCCAAAGCCAGGACCACTCATTGTTTTTGAAGTCCCAGAACATGTCTGTGAAAGGTAAAGAAATGCTAGAGCAGGATTCACAAAAGTTAGGATCTATATTAATATATAGATATGTGTATAATGCTTAAGACTTAAAGACATGATAACTTGCAGGGGATTATATCAGGACATAGCATCTCAAGTTCAGTTTCAAGATTTGGCCTAATTATGCCGTTTCGCTGCTCTCCCCATTGCCGTGATAGGTCTGTTGTAAGAGGTGTCAGGCCCAGGAGGTTTCCTTAGCGGTATAACATGACCTTTCTCCACGTCGACAAATACGATTCCCACTCTCGTTGCTGTACAGAGGCCCACTGTGTGTAGGGACCACCATAGCTTAAGCCGTGTTCTTGGATGTTTCTTTCTTTCTTTCTTTGGTAGCAGCACTACGTGGATATTCTTACACTTGCTACTTCTGATCTTTTCTCATTTCCTTAGGATGAACTTGGTGAGATACAATCCATGGGCCACAATATACTCACATAGTTTTGAGGTTTAAAATGGCTCTTTCAGAAAACCAGCACTCTTGTTTTAGAAAATGAAAGCAAGTCCAATGCCAGGGTAGAGTTTGGCTCTGCCCCAGACCTCATTGCTTTTCAGAGTCATCGTGGTCAAGTTTCGAGTACCACCCTGAGCTATATGCCAGAATTCAAAGACAAGATGGGCATGGTCAGGCATGGGTTTTGCGGTGCAGGCGGAGAAGCTATGGGGACAAGCACAGAGACAGAAGCCCTGCTCAGGTGCAGTCAGATGGCCCAACAAGGGCTTCGGTGGGTGTGGCCGGACCCCCAGAACAGAAGACAGAGACCAGAGAAAGAGTTGAAGCTTGTATGCCACACTGGGATCAGGGTGAACCCCACCCTTTTGCACTTGAAGAGGGCTGCCCTGAGCCCCCTTTGATTTTCAGCCCTACCAACTCCCTTCAAGTGTCCCCCACCCTACATGTGCCTCAGCCCCACTGCCCGCCTACCCTTGGAAAGCTTTGTACCACTTCGTAATGAGTTCTGGCAAAACCTGTCTATTCCAGCAGAACTACATGGTGAGGTGTCCAGAAAAGCAAACCAAGGAATGTAAAGTGTTCTGTTCTGTCACTTTGGTCCCCTTTCTAAGTAGCCCACTCTTCCAGGCCAGCTTGCCAGCTCCATGCTCCTGGCCGTGCTCACTGGAAGCCGAACTCCAAGGATTCTAGAAGCCCCCGCCCCTGTTTCTTTCAGTGCAAAGTTATCCCTCCCTCTGTTACTGCCTTAAATTCTCTTTTCAAATCCTTGCCTGACATTTAACTTGGCCTTGCAACTCTATTTCTTAAAACCCTCCACCCAAAACTGACTGTGACTCAGCATTCCAGGAACAAGTAAATCTCATCAAAGGCAGTGCCTGTCCTTCAGCCTTCCTCTTGGAACTGCTCTCCCCCCTCCCCTCTTCAGCTCTGGAAATCCTGTTTATCTTTCTGGACACATCTCACATTCTATCTTCTTTAAGAAGTCTTACCAGCTTTCTAGCGTTCTGAAAGCCCATAAAATGTGATCGTGATCCATACCATATTCCACGGTGTCTAGTGTCCAGATGGCCCCTGACAGATGGACTTTCAACTTCACGATCGTTCTACTTTATGATGGTGTGAGAGTGATACGCATTCAGTAGAAACCATACTTGGAATTTTGAATTTGGATCTCTTCCTGGGCTAGCAGTACATGGCACAATCCTCTCTCGTGATGCTGGGGGCTGGCCGCTCCCCGCCAGCCACATCACCAAGAGGGTAGATCACCGACACACTGACAGCCGTTCTGCACCCAGACAGCCACCTGTTAGTCACTTTCAGCGCAGTATTCAATACATTACATGAGATACACAACACTTTATTATATTATCAGTCTTGTTTTCTGTTTCTTTTTTTATTGAAGTATGGTTGACACACGTTACGTTATTTTTAGGTGTACAAGGTGGTGATTGGACAAGGCTGTTCATAGTGTAGCTACCCTGTGTCACTGTACTGCACTGTTACTATAGCATTGACTCTATTCCCTATGCTGTCCACTTCATCCCCATGACTTAGGCATTCCATCACTGGAAGTCCGTTCCTTCCACTCCCCTTAGACTGTTTTGCCCATCCCCCACCCACTCTCCCCTCTGGCAACCACCAATTTGTTCTCTGTATTTATGGATCTTTTTTTTTCTATTTTTGTTTGTTCATTTGTTTTTTTAAACCCCACATGTAAGCTTTCACTTACGACCTTTGGTTTTGCTCTATATTATTTCACTTAGCGTAACTTCTAGGCCCAGAAATGGCAAAAATCTCATTCCTTTTTATGGCCACATAATATTTCTTGTGTGTGAGTAATTGTGTACATGTGTACATACACACAATATCCTCTTTCTCCACTCATCTATGGATGAACACTTAGGTTGCTTCCATTTCTTGACTATTGTAAATAATGCTAAAATAAATAGAAGGGTGTATACACCTTTCAAATTAGTGTTTTGTTTTCTTTGGGCAAATACCCAGTAGTGAAATTACTGGATCAGTATGGTATTTCTATTTTTAATTTTTTGAGGAATCTCCGTGCACTCTTCCACATCAGTACTATATTATAAAATGGACAAAAGACTATTTTTTTAAAAAGATTTTATTTATTTATCTGAGAGAGAATGAGCAGGGAGAATAGCAGAGGGAGAGGGAAAAGGAGACACCCTGCTGAGTAGGGAGCCCGACATGGGTCATGGGTTCATGACCTGAGCCAAAGGCAGACACTTGACTGACTGAGCCATCCAGGGGCCCCGGCAAAAAGCCCATTTTGTAATAGATGGCTTTGCCCAATTATATGATGTCTAGTAGTTTAGGTGTATTAAATGCATTTTTGACTTGGGATATTTTCAGTTTATGTTGGATTTATTAGGATGTGACCCCATCATAAGTCAAAGATAATCTGTAGATAATACCACACAATAGAGTGTGTGTGTACTTACAACTTTAGTTTCCTTGAGGGCAAAGATGATAACCATCCCTTTTCCTCTTCTGGGTGTTGAGAATCACCTTGTCTTACACTAAGGTACTACTTCCATGAGTGACTGGGCATTGAAGGAACATGAATTCATGGATAGGCCAAGTAGATGTGAGGAGCCCAGTAAAGTTCATCTAATAGAGGAGTCTGGCTCTAGCTTTCTCTAAAAGAGGGTTTTGATGTCAACATTCTGACCAGACCCTCTATATAAAAGCACTTTATAGACAGAGGGAGACAGGGACACTTTTTAAAATAAAAGGGGGGAAGAGCTGATGGAGATCAATAGGTGCTCACTACGTAAGGTCCCTTTGACGTCCTTCTTAGGTGTATGTTTTCACTGTGGTTGAATTTAATGCTTTCTGTCGTTTTTGTGTCATGGAATGTTTCACATTGGTTAAATTACATCTGCTTTTGAAAGAACAAGTATTAACACACATGTCACTCCTGTTTCTTGCAGGCGACAATGGTCCTGAGCTCTGCACACTTCTGGCTGGGATTATTTCTGGTGCCCACAGCGTGTTTAATGGAAGATGTAGCCTGGAGAGCGTAAGTGAAGAGTGACGTAGTCACCCAAAGTCTTGCTCATCTGTCCTTGCAGTCACCTGTCATGAACCCTGACCATAGGATATTTCATGCTGTGGGATATTCTAAAGGAACAGGTCTTCTGCTACCTGCCAGCAACAGATGTAAAGGATGTTGGGGGTTTGGGTTTCTTGTGGTTTTCTTTTTTTCTTTTAACCTGTGCTTCACCTCGATAGGAGAATATAGACAAAGAGGAGTCCTAAGACAGGCTGTGTAAAGGTCAATAGGTATGAAGCTTGTACATGATTTTAAAGTAGGGTTTCTAAGTACAGATTCATTCCATCAGGTTTAGGAAGCATAACTCAAAATTCATTTCTCCTTATATAAAAAATTAATGCCTAAGCAGTCACAAATATAAACTGGCTTTAAATCCTAGACTTAAACGAAAATTGTCTATATGTAAGTCATTTCAAATTAGAAAATAACTTGGAATGAAGTATTCTTCATTTTCCCAATAATTCACAGTAGAACTCCTTCAAATATGATTTATTTAGAGTGTCAGTGTACAGGTCTATGAGAATCACAAAGATGAAATTATAATGTAGGTTAAGTAGGAAATAATTCATGCTCAGTTTTTGCTTATATGTTCCGGAATACATTGTTTCCAAAATATCTTCTGCACAAGGTAAGCTAAGCAACTAAGTTCCAAGATAATGTTAATTTTAATTTCATCCACGAGAAAGAGATGGAAGACTCCAAAAGAGATAATATTGATTTTTGTTTGGGGTAGGCTGATTCCTCCTACAAACAGTTCCCAACTTTCCCTGAAAATTGAGACTCCTTGATTGGTTTTACTTTGGGCAAAGCATAATTATTTTGGGGCCCTGAGGTAGAGAATTGAGACTTTAATCCAAACCTTCCAGGAAAAGACATCAGATTTCATTTTTATCTCCCCCCTTCCTCCCACACTCAATGAGAATTGTTCTTGCCTGACAGTTAAGGGTGTTTTTTGAAAAAGTCTTCATTTTGGCATTATCTTGACAACCAGTGATGCCTAATGCAGAGAGAGTGAGGAAGAGAGAGAATTGTATAGCACATATTTGGGGTGCTTTTTTTTTTCTCTTCACTAAGTTTTGCAACTATTAGCAAAAATTAAATAATTCTTGGGCGCCTGGGTGGCTCAGTTGGTTAAGCGACTGCCTTCAGCTCAGGTCATGATCCTGGAGTCCCGGGATCGAGTCCCGCATCGGGCTCCCAGCTCCACGGGGAGTCTGCTTCTCCCTCTGACCTCCTCCTCGCTCATGCTCTCTCTCACTGTCTCTCTCTCTCTCAAATAAATAAATAAAATGTTTTAAAAAAATTAAATAATTCTAATTTATTAAATGCCTTGATGTACCAATACTTCCCTTTTATCTGCTAAAACCATATTCTATAAACAGCTGAATTGGAATCCTTCAAAATGAAATTATTGTAGCCAGGAAAGATGTTTTCTTAATCTAATAAATGCACTGAAACAAAATGCTAGTTCTGTTATTTGTTCTTGTAGCACATAGCCCAGTTGTGGCACGCTATATTACCTTGCTAAATTTCTTCAATTTTACATGACAGGTTAGTTTTAGGTAAATCCAACATGATACTGGCTACATCAGATCACATTACAATTTATAGCGATTGAGAATAGGAATGTGACTATGAATTACTCTCAGCCTATTTTAATTCAACTATCTTGATTAACATCCCGAAAAAATATGTTTACTGAGTCTCTGTATTTGCCAAGTGAGACTTTAGCAGCAGTAGCTTTCTACTCTTTCAAAAAAGTGGTTGCAGATTATAATGTCTCCATCTCCTGTCAGTCTTCTGGATCTTTTCCAGTCTATTCCAAGTAAAACTTACCAATCACCAATGAAGCAAATTATTCCTTCAAACAGGACTTGTTTTTGGTTTCCCCTAGTATTATAAAACTAGCAACATTTACATTTTAGCAAGGATAAATTCAAGGACACTGCCTCCAGCTCCACCATATGGAAAGAGTGCAAGTCACTTTTTGCGAGAAGTTTGCCAGCCAGGTAGGAGAAGGGACCAGGCACTACGAAGGAGGTGCTGGTCAGGGGCCAGCAGTGGCAGACCCTGGGCATTGTCCTACCTGCTGCCTCCTGCCCAGGACAAGCCCAGAGAAGAGCCCTTCCCAAGAGCAGTGGGCTTTTCTAGCAGCTTTGGGCTGAGCTGGGAAGACTCCTACTCAATTCCGGAGGCACTTACAGAAAGGTACTTTTGTCTGGTTTTATTTAGGGAAACCAGGGAGAATGGATGGACTACATTGGCTCTCCCTGGCAGTATTTGCCCAAAGTACATGCTTAATTTTTAATACACATTTAATGTCTAAATTAGAGTCGCCACTGTCCTCAAAGACAAGCATCTGGCCAGCTTATCTGGGAATTTTCCCTGAGATCATGGGGCCCAGGTTTTATCTTATCTTATACTCCCAGCCTGAAATAGATGTTGTTGGGTCCAGTAAATTTCAGAGGCTTCTCTGGGAGGTGGAAGCAGACTCAGAGTTGCTCACCTCTGCCGAGGCCACCGTCCAGGACTGGGATTTCTCTTTCTTTCTTTCTTTCTTTTTTTTTTTTAAGATTTTATTTATTTATTTGACAGAGATCACAAATAGGCAGAGAGACAGGCAGAGAGAGAGAGAGGAGGAAGCAGGCTCCCTGCCGAGCAGAGAGCCCGATGTGGGGCTCAATCCCAGGACCCTGGGATCATGACCCGAGCCAAAGGCAGAGGCTTTAACCCACTGAGCCACCCAGGTGACCTGTGATTTCTCTTTCTGAACTTCTGCTTCCCAGAACGTGTTCTGTTTTCCCTTCCTGCACACTGAGCAAAAACATGAACCTGATTGTCCACAGCCACTCTTCATTTGGTTCCAACTGTCAACTCTTTATTGAAACACGATGTGCTCTGGCTCTCCTTGGATGTCCATGGAGAGTTTGAATGAAGTGAACCAGAATCCCAGGGCCGCGAATGGCCTGTGCCATGACAGCGACATGGGGCCGAGTTCACAGGACGGTTACGTTTTCTCATCTTGCCTTGGACCAATTTATTATTTTTTTTAATTTTTTCAGTGTTCCAAGTTTCATTGTTTATCCACCCCACCCAGTGCTCCATGCAATACATGCCCTCCATAAGACCCACCACCAGGCTAACCCAACGCCCCACCCTCTCCCCTCCAAAATCCTCAGTTTGTTTCTCAGCCTTGCACCAGTCTTACAGACCTCTTGTCTTGTTTTGAATTTTAGTGGTTAACTACTTTGAAAGAGCTTTTAAACACTAACAGACCCGCAGGCCCACCTTTTCATGTGTCTTTCTAGAAGCGCTTAACAAAGTGAGCTGCTCTCTTTCTGCATTTCCCCCCTTACTTTGTCCAGTCCCTCTCTCCCATTTTAGGACCTAGACTCTTCAGAGTCAGGAAAAAAAAAAAGAAAGAAAAGAAAGAAAGAAAGAAACTCAGCATGAGGTAATTTAGTCATTTTTTCCATGAAGTCTGTCAGCTTTCTGCTTGAAGATCCATTACTAGACTATCTTAAGTCAGATTTGGACACCATAAAGTAGCTACTCTTTTATCCTGTCAACCATAATTTTCACGAGGGACCAAACTAACACATCTTTTACTGAAATGTTGATTGATTATATGTGATACCTGGCTAATGAGTATTTTTATGAGGAGCATGAAGTTTAAATTGCCCAGAACTACTTTAATATCCTTTAGCTTACACACTTCCAAAATATTTACCCATGACAGCATTCTTAGGTAAGCTGCCGTGTACTCATTCTCATTTAGGAGAAATCCGTTAGTTGCTTTACAAAAATAATATAAATCTCAAGGCCACTGAACACAGGAACCAATCTCCTTTTATCTAACTGTATCTCTTATGCTTTACCCGTCAACACACAATACGTTCAGCACTTCCAGAATGACTTCATTTCCTTATTATAATCCCAGATAGGCAGTTAAATGGAAATAAAAGGTAATATGAAATTTCTGTATACAAATGAGTCTTGATATTTTTGTAAAAAAAGCTTTCTACCTACAATAAGTTCATATGAAGCACACCGTATTTACATTTTTATCCACATTTAGAATTTAAGGTCTCCTTCTGACTTGCTACTTTTCCATGCAAAAGAAAGAGTTGAGGAAAAAAGCTTCCAGGAAAAAAAAAAAAAAGATGAAAATCTGAGCCAATCCACTTATTTTAAAAGTCCTTCCTAACCTGGAGTTACCCTGGAGGCTCCCGGATGCTCTCGAACTCTGACAGTGGCCAAGCAGCCCCACATTGCCCCTTCTGTAGTCATCTGGTTTCTTGACGCGGGTTAGATGGAGCAGCCCTGGGCCACTGGGGATAAGCCGCTCATGGATAATGGGGCTCACTCTGTCACAGCTGTGGCTGAGCAAACCAAACCCCAGCTCCTGGTGAGACCTAAATTGCATGCCAGTGGCTAATGCTCAAAGACTGGCTTTTCACATGTGGACTTTGATGAGGGGGGATCATTTATCTAATTAAGGCTTTATTAGATAAAGGCTGCTGAGAAAGTGGTTTTGCACTGCTAACATTGCTTCTACCCCAGTGCCGCACAGAGAAGGACTCACAGAATCGTCCCCAGCATTACCAGCCAGTGTTCTCAAATAGTGGTCAAGTTCCCAGGCTAGCCTGTGGGAGCTCGCCTCGTGGAAATACTAAGAAATTGTTGAGTAACTCTTGGACACAGATGAGTTTCATCCACGGAGAACATGCACAGTGCCTGGTGATCATTTCCTTCTGGGGTGACTTTATGAATGAGCCCACACCAGCAGCTTCGATGCAATGGGCCAGATTCTCTCTCCCTTGGCCTAAGGTATACATTTCCAGGGCCCTGCACCCACTGGCCCAGCCTTCCTGTCCCTAGCCTATTTCTTGATGATGCCTTGTCACCCAGCCCAGAAGAGAACTCTGAGGGCTGTTCCAGAGGTTGGGGAGCCCTGCTTGCTCTGTGTGGGGAGGAAGACAGAGGAAAGAGGGGAGGACAGTGGTGGAGCGAGGAGGGCCCTGAAACCGAGCACACACTCAGCCTCAGGACCGGCACGCATGTCCTCCTGGGGCCTGGAGGCTCCAGCAGGCTGGAGTGTGGCTTGTGACTCTGGTTGTCTTGGTACCATTCTAGCCCCGTGAGCCCATGAGATGAAAGTTGGGGGCGCAGCATATTCAGTAATACGGAACAGTGTAAAATTTTTGCCTGTCTCCAGCAAAACGTTAAATGTTTTCTCATTTCTTGTTTAAATTAAAATTCCACCGCCTCTGCTTTGAACTGTGGAATGTTATCACTACTGAGTCCCCGGACTCGGCTTGGTGTAATTAAGGTATTATGTGTTAAAACCTGTGCGGCCAAGTGCTCGTGTTTACTTTGGAGGAAAGGAATGGCAGGCGCATATACAGTGTCTTCGGGCTAATACTCCATTATAGATTAACTTGGAGTGTTAGGGGATGACTGGGCATTATCTTAACAGACTTTCTTCCCTTGAAGGTGGAGGGTGGGCGGGCGTATGTGATTCCCCTGAAACAGCTCCCATCTCCCGAATGTTCCCATTCCACGGTTCTCCCTTCCTCGCAGAGACGCTCCATGTTTGTTCATCTTCTGTCTTTGAGTTCTGGTCCTTAACAGGGCCTTCACATCTGTTCGCGTTGAAAAGAATGATAAGCTTCTCGTAACAAGGAAAACTGCCCTGTGTTGCTAAGCTTGGAGCCTTTTTGCTTCTTGAGTTTTTCTTTTCCCGTCTCATACCCATGTCCAGCTAACCGCCTTTCTTCAACTGTATCCTTTCCAACCAGGAGCTCTGGGTGTAGTCTCAACTTTAGGGAGACCCTAGATCAGCCGCTTATTTGAACGTTTGTGAGGTATTCTTCATTTTACCAGAAAAAGGGTGCAGGCAGCTATCCCTACAGTTCAAGGGGCGTAATGGAACCAGGCTGAGGTTTCAGCTGTGGTCAAGAGGCCAGCTTGTTTTCGTTACTCCCTCAGTTGTTTTACTCTGTGGGGGCCCACGAATATGGGCCCTAATGGTAAGTCTCTGCAAGAGAAGGGTGGAAAAGCTGTGCCGGGATATTTGTGTTGACCCTAAATTTCAGATGCACGGTTTGACTTGAGGAGCGTGAACTCCAGCACTATAAATCCCATTCCTGCTGTGACCGTGTCTCTTTCCATGCTAAAAAGAGAACAAACTACTCACCTGGGGCTCTGTGATCACAGGGGCTGGGGCCAAGGGACCTGCATATATCCACTAGGGGAAGGATTTAAAGCATCCTCTGGGTTCCCAGATCCTGCAGTGAACCCTTTAGAAATAGACCCGTGAACATCCGTGAGCCTGGATCTTTCTGGGTTCCCAGATCCTGCAGTGAACCCTTTAGAAATAGACCTGTGAACATCCGTGAGCCTGGATCTTTGGTCTGTATGGTGGGGGTCCTCAGCCAGATCCCCAGGCTTTCAGCATCAAGCGGTGTTCTTTGAGGGATGTGGGGTAACTTAGGAGGTTCATGGTCCAAGTGTGTTCCTCAAAACTTGGGATGCTTCCCAGGTTATGAAAGTAGAACCGTGGCCATACGCAGGGACAGTAAGAGTGTTCCGTGATGTCCAAAGCCGCAGCCTCAGCCTCAAAGGGCATCCAGAGATGGCCCCAAAGGGAGCAACCGTCTCTACAGCTGTGTAAGTTTCATGTGTCATGTGCTTTTTGTCTTTTCCTTGTGACACAGGGCCAAGCATACCTGCAAAAAAACATTGCTGGAGGAGGTACAGGAGCTGGAGACGAAGTCCAGAGTGATGGGGAAGGCGATGCTTCGGGACAGTAATGGAAAGAGGTGGGCCAGCTCCGACCGAGTGTGTGGGGAGCACCAGTCCTCCCGGCCCTTCTCCCTACATTTCCTTCCCGGCTTTCTGTTTCTCTTCTCAGTTTTCCATGTGAGCATGAACTGCTGTTTTAAGTGTTTTGGTTATTCTCTAAGAATACCGTCATAGGGAGATTTAAATTACATTTTCTCCGTGGTCACATGAAATCTAGTCTGTCCCCAGGTAAAGCTGGGGTTTTTATTGGGTCCGGGTAAAACAATGCACATGTAGAAAACAGAAATAGTAGCAACACTACCCTGACATGGACAAGTTCTGTTTTAGTTATATTACCACAGAGTATTTAAAAGCTAGGCCTTTTGAAACCAGGGCCAGTTATTAGACTAGAGGATGAGTATCTACCGTGAAGGTTTGTGCGCCAAATGACACCCGTTATTCATGTCAATCTTGTTATATATAGTTCATGGCAAGTATACCTGGGCCTTTTTGTTTTCCTTTTCATGAATTATGATTTTCTGCTTGGGTTGAGAAAACTATCATGTGAACGTCCAGGCTAGTTCAGAGAGACAAATGTTATCGTTTCCTTCCCTTATTTGTGGTAGACCCTTGGCCGCCTCCTCCCCGTCTCTAAGTTGGGTATGAGAAAAGCTTTTGATTAATCATTTTTGTTATAATGTTATTAGATTGCATTTAGTTAAAGCCCATATACTACCAAGTCTACCTGGACCCAAGAACAGTTGAGCATCGCCGTCTTAAATACGTGGCATGTCCGGAAGATTATGAGTACAGCTGTCCTGTAAATGCTTCGGAGGAAGTCTGTATCTACCTGCCAGGGAAACAGAAACCTACAAGTTGAACACTTCTAGAGACCCCTCCTGTGTGTCTTGTTTTATTCTGTTTATTCATACCATCTTTCAAAGCAATGAAGAGAAAGACATTTCTTTTTAAGAGAATCTGAATTTTGAGAAGTATTAGGAATATCGCTTTAAATTACTGCAGATGTTTTAGGAGAGGGGTGGTCGAGTCCATAGCTGAAGTTGTGGTTTTTGTATTTGTTTATGGCATTTTTTAATAAGCGAGTCCATTAGCATCCGTTACATGGCAGCTGTGCTCGTCACTCTAAAAAATAATCTGTCAACAGGACAAAACCCACTGTCTTTAATAACCGAAAGCCATGAGTGTATGGGGACAGCGGCAGGGCCTGAAGCAGGTCTATACAGAACCATTACACCGGGCAGCCCACGGCCAAGGCCGGCGCTCTCTGTTAGATACTTTAGGCATAGTGCTTAGCACTTACTAGATTTTCAAGGACTTACAAAATTCTTGGACCCCCCCCCCAAAATGTTCATAAGCTCTAAAAATAGGGAGAAGCCTCTGCAAATTGAAATTCATAAAGGCTTAAAACTCTACAAAATGCAGATCAATTTTAGTAACCACTTAGGTTTATTAAGTATACGGGGTTTGGGCTTCTTTGAAAACCACTCCCAGGTCCTCTTAGATCTCAAGAATGCTCACTCACACACAGTAGCTGCTGAGAGATCATGGGTAACTTCTAAGTCAAAGGAGAATTTCAAAGCCAAATTCTAAAACTTTTATGCAACGTTGGACAGGAAAACCTTGCACCTCACGTGGCATAGGAAGGCGCTTTGCCATGTTTGATCTGATGTGGGTCAGGGTTTGGTTCTGGCCCCGCCAGCTAATAGGGCTGGACATGGGGTGGGGAGCAGGGAGGCACTGAGAGGAGGCAGCAAGCTGGGAGGCCATCCGGCTTGAGAGGTGAAGGGCTTCACATGGGGCACGGGATGGAAAACAGGGCTTGGAGGAGGTGAGCAGACAGAAGTGATGAGTGCGTGCTTCTGTCAGAGGGAGCAGCCTGTGTGTGGGGGGTGCCCAGTGGGATTGTGTGCCCTGGTGCAATTCGCCCCAAGGGATCTGGAGCCCGTGTTTCAGTTCTGGCTCAGCTGCTGCTTAGCCATGTGACCTTGGACAAGCTATTTCCTACAGTGGGATGGTCTCTTCATCCGCAGCAGTAAGAGTAGTATGTGGGGGAAGCAAGGCTGGGGCTCATGAAACAATGCACAGAGCGCGGCATATTGCCTGACCCGTGGCTGGAATGCAGAGTGTCAGCTGCTAGCCTTCACTTTGGCAGGGGGATATGCGCCCTCCTCACTGTTGATAAAAAGAATGGAATTTTTAAAACTCACGTATCCTGTTCACAACTCACTTTTCAATGTTCCAGTGAATATCGGAAGATAATTACAGTTTAAGTGTGGTCTCTTACCGTCTGCATTTTAAAATCTGTTTTCTGATCGCTTTGTCAATTTTGCAACCTCGTAGTTGTACCCACGGTGCATGAAACATGAGTGTGCCCCGCCCCCACCTCCTGACTGGGGCTCCTCTAGTCCCAGTGTCCTGCCCTGCTCACTTGTGTAATCTCTGCTTCCCATCAGCTTCAGAGCGCCCAGCCGCCACCACCACCACTACCACCACCACCACTGTTTGTTTTTTTCTCCCTCCTAATTGCTCCCAGATTTTCTGGGTGGTCCTTTGCAAACTAGATAGTGGGACTGGCTGCTCTGATTTTGTCCTGCTTGGCCTCACATCTGTTGGTTTATCACCTTTATTTGCTTCTTTCACACCTGCCAGGATTCCTGGGCAGCTCTGGTGCGGGGGAGGGGTGGGGGAGGTGTGGAGGAGGGTAGCCCAGGGCCTGGGGTGGGTGGGGAGGTTCCTTCAGCTCCCTTCCTCCTTGTAATGATTTAGAGACACCCTCCTGGAGGGAGCCTGAGTACTTCTCTCTCTCCTCACATGTCCCATTCCTTAATCCCACCCCCATCTAATATTTCAGTAGGCTCGTGCATCTCTCTTTTGCTGTTAGGCTGGTGCATAGTAAACACTTTGTAAATATTTGTTGGCTGACTGGCACTGCAAGAGCCCAGTGAGCTGGTGAGGAGGAGAGGAAGGTGAGCCCGCATTCTCTGTGCAGGGCAGCTGGAGCCCATTGCGTAGGCCCACGTTAAGAGTAGCCATGAAGCGCTGCTGAGAGAGAGGCCAGCGGCCACTCGGCCCGTCATGAGGGGACCACTTACTTCACGGCTTCAGAACAGAGCTAACAGAGTCACAGATGGACAGATGCGTGGGACGTAAGCATGGCCTCCCCATACAAAGTTGAGTAAGGCTGGGAGCTAGTCCTCCCACCGACCCTGCCTTCCAGGGCCTCTGCTCGCCAGGTGTGCTCGACATCCCTAACCACCGGACAGCTATGCAGCTCAATGCTGAAAACTTTCCTTAAGGCCCCTTTAGTACACTCTGCCAAGTCATAAAACCTAGGTCCAAGTCACCGGCAAATAGTCGAGCAGTTTTTCTCAGGAATGTACTCGTAAGAAATAGAACAAAAATTTTTATGCATTAATCTTAAAAAAAAAAAAAAAAGCCCTTTCGTGCCAAATTTGCAATTACAATTTCAACGGTAGCTAGGAATTCTAAGTGTTCCCCTATGCCCTTTATCCATGCAATAAAATACTTCAACTTACCATTTTATTGATCTTGTCAAAGCCCCAAATTCTTCTATTATTTTGATAAACATGAAAATTTCATTAGCACACTCCTGCACTTTTGCATTAGTAAATTTTGTCTTTCAAAATGAACGTGTGTCATTTATGCACAATTAAGCCTGTACTCATGACTTAGAGAATAAAAGCTGATAAAGAGAAAAGATGAGATTTATGATTGAGATATCGAGAAAGTACAGGGAAAAAAAAATGCTTCAGGTGGCAAACAGAAATGTTTTCATTTTGTCTTTTGTCTTTTCCTGATGAAACATTTTTCTTGGTGTATTGTCTGTGTACCTCACAAACACTAGACCCTTGTTAATATTTGTATTGTTCAGAATACCTTTCCCCAAGCCATCTTCCACAAAAAACTTGACCAAGAGATATCCCTACTGTCCAGAATAGAATCTATCATGCATGTCAGCACCTTGCACATGTCTCAAAAAATGAGCTAAGGAAAGAATTCTTTCTTTCAATGTTTTGGTAGTAGTTTCTCCCTCTCCTTCTTTATTCCTAAAGTGTAACTCATGTGACTGTATTTTTCCTCTGGTGGAAGAAAAACTACCGGTGGCCACTTACCTTTACAAATATAATTTTTTTAAATGTCCAGGATGTCATGTAAGGTTGACAAACTAAATTTTCCCCCTTTAAATTGTTTTTCTTCCTCAGTGCAAAGTAGAGGATATTCAGGTATTCTGGGTATTACAGCAGTCAGGAAGCAAGGTGAATATATTTGATGAAAACATTGAGTTTTCTAGTTATATTTAATCCAAATAAACCACAAGGAGACCCTTGTTTTGTTTTAGAACTTCCTTCTGTTCATCACAGTTGTTGGGGTGGATGGGGGTGGTTAGGTCCCTGCTGATTTTTCTCCAGTTTCAAGGTTAAGGAGTTCTGGTTGCTACCCTTGGCTTTCACCAGCAAGGCAGTGGGATTCTCTTTCACTTAAGTGCTTCCCCGGAGTACAGTTTACTCTGTGCCCTCAGTAAAGGTAGCCGGGTGACTGGTCTTTGCCTTACAGTGAGTGATCACTGAATCTCTTACTTGGTTTTATGTCCTCATGAATGCTGATACATGGGCTCTGTGAAGGCAGGGCCCAGCCGGCACACACAGGGTAATCTAGACAGCCTGTCTGCCTCTTGGGGATTCAGGAGGGAAACTTGATTCACTCCTGTGTCTGGGTGCCACAGCCTGGGCTCACACAGCGCCTGTGTCAAGGCTACCGCTGTGCAGATAGGCGGGGCACGGGTCCAAGCCAGCCATCTGGGAATCCTAATGGAGTGTTATCAGTGGAAAAATAGAGGCCAGAGCCTGAAACATATCAGCACCATTTTCAAACACACCAACGATCATTCCTCCATTCCAGGCGGCACTCACCTGGTGCTCTTCTAAAAACCAATTAAATTAAAAAAAAAAAAACTCCCCAATACATTTTGAGGTGAGTAGCCACTATGCTTTGAGCT